CGATACTCCGCTGGGAACAGCACCTCGTGGATACAAGAAGGGTATGGTTTCTGGTAAGGTTCCGGTGGTTGAGATCCTTGGACTAGTAACTTTTTCAGTCTGCCCATAATCATGGATTGGATATCAGCTATGGTTATTGCGAGTGAATCCAAAATAAGGATAGTGGCCCTGTAGGGGGCACAGCCAATGTGCTAAACTCTGACCGATAGAGCCGCAAATATCTCTTGGCTATCGTTGTTTGGGTCTGGAGTTGCTTGTTTTGTTAAATGTTATAAGTCTTCAAATTGCCTTTGGGGAGAGGCGTCATCAACTCTGATCACTAGGAACCATCCTTTGAATTTGGGTTATATGCAGGAGAGGCGATGGAATGGAAGTCGTTTCTTGGCTTATAGAGGGCTTGGTGATGGTCGGGTACGAAGGCCGTGACTCAACATTTTGACCCTCAACTTGCGAGAAGAGCGAGAGGGCTCCGGCTCTGTGTCTCCTTCGGGTAACGAGGAGGAGGAAGTGGGAACCACGGGATCCATGGGCAGAGAGAGAAGACGGATACAAGGGTTGGGTAGAGAGAGAAGATGGAGACTAGAGTTGGGTAGAAAGAGAATGAGGGAGGCGACAATTGGATAGAGAGAGAGGGGTGAGAGTAGGGCTTATCAGGTCTGCTGGGTTTTTTAGCGTTTGAGGCTGCTTTCTTTTTAGAGGACATGCATACAATGGATTACCCATACCCATAAGACGTGTAATAGATTTTTCAGCCCCATGGGTTTCATTATTCTTTGGGAAATATCGAGTAACCTATTTTCATTTTTTTATTATTAAAATATACCCAAATAATGTAAATCTCTTATTTTCTTATAATTTATTTTTTATATAATAGATTTTTAGGTATCAAACGGCCCGGCCCCTTAGTCTATGGCCAATAGTACACCTAAGCATCAAAGAGGTAAATAGTCCTACTCAAGGTGCCGTAAAGAGGCTACGGTCATTATGGTAGAATCTCATACTCTAGTCACCTTGTGATTTTTCATTCCCCTTGACATCACCCCACTAATACTTTCATGATTTTTCATTTCCCTTGACATCACCCCACTAATACTTCAACTAAGTAACTCTTAATTTATTTGAAAAAATGGATAGGGTTTTGTATTCTCCACTGAATTACCAAAAAATAGAGGTGCCAAGACTCAATTTGGATTGGGTACTTGCCCTTTGGCTAAGTTGAGTTACTTAAACAAGTTAGCGGCATGCCATAAAAAAGCCGTTTCATCACTTTTGATTTAATGAGGATGCATTAATATGTAATGGGTGCGGTTTGTATAAGGCCGAGGCTCTAAACAATCAAAGTAAAGCACAACTTTTGATTTAGTGATGATGCATTAATATGTAATGGGTATGGCTTGTATAAAGCGGAGGCTCTAAACAATCAAAGTTAAGCGCACATTCAAATAGTGATGAGAAATGTAGTTTCAATATTGAAAATCTTTGTGATAGTGTTAAAATATATTTTCATCTCTAGTTATAAAATTTAAAACTTCAAAAATAGTATCGATCATGCATATCTATGAAAACTTCAAATTGATGGTCCAAAAATGCATTACAAGATGCATTATTTTCAAAACTTGAAATCCATTTTCCATATCCATGCATCTTGAGGTCGAGATGATCAATTTGATGTTATTTAGGCATCAAACCAACACAATGAAAATTTTAAAGTGTGCCATAATTAGTTTGGATGTATACATCATACTAGAGTGAAACCTAAGGTCGGCTGAGTCTGAATGGACTCGACCAAGTCCAGTACAGTGGTCTCATTGTATCTTTTCTCTATGCGCAAAAAGTAAGCACATGGAATTAGAGAGGAGAGTATACCTAAACTAGCTTTAAGCAAAGAGAGAGAGAGAAAAAGACGAGTGAAAAAGATAAGAAAAATCAAGAAATGGGAATATGGGTAATTAGTAAAATAAAAAGAAAATTACAGATATACCCACGATTGTACTTTTTAAGTATGCCGTCTAATATTTTTAAATAACATATTTTCATACTATTTATTCTTGCATCCAACCTCTAAAAAAAAAAAAATTTATTTAAACTAAAATACCACTCATTTTAACCTCTACTCCCAACATGTAATGCCAAAAATGTGTACCAAAAAAATGTGCCTAGCCGGGTTCTAATCTTTAAAATGTATCCATCGACATAAAATGTACTGGATCGACTTTCGACAGAATGCGCCAGTCTGACACATCTTATGTGTCGAACCACCTTTTGATATTCAAATTGTACCAACCAAACACAAAATATGCTAGATCAGTTTCTATTGAAATTTTGCCCATCCGAAAATATGCTGACCAACTTCTACAGTCTAAGTTGTGCCGGACCAACTTGGCTTAAAGAGAGCGGGAGTGTGATAAGGAAAACAAAAAAGTTAAAATAGAGTTATTTTGATAAAATAATCAACTATAAGATAAAAGTAAAAAATAAATAGCTTTAGAATTAACAGGACCATAAACTATTGATACCTACAAAGTACAATCTACGGGAGTATATATTATTTTCCCTTGGATAAATTTTTGAGTGGGAATGGTTCCACACACTTCCACTTGGACTGGGTTACAAAGTACCAAGTCACCCACAAAGTACACACCGCACAAGTTTGGAATTTTATTTTCGAAAATTATTTCATACGGGCTGAAATACATGACTATATATGCGGTCTAAAAAGTTCCATCTAACGGTTCAAATGTTTTTTCATTAGAATTATTATTTTTAGTTGTTGAAATTTATTTGATTTATTTATTTGATTACATGTCTTTAAAAATTAAGTTAAAAAATTCATCTCAAAGTTAGATTTATTAAGAGGCCCGCAGGCTTGGCCGCATATAAATCCGATCCTTTTATTTTTGTAGCAAATCCCAAAAAATTTAAAAAAAAAAAAAAAAAAAAAAAAACAAAAAACTACGAGAGAGAGTGAGTGCAGAGAGAAGTTGTAAGTTAGGTCAGTGACCAACCAGGCAATATCCACTTGGGTCAAAGAGAAAAAGATGTCAGTGGGCGTGCATGCGGGGTACCACATGGATAGAGATAGGACTTGGGTCCACTTACTTTATTTTGAGGGAGACGAAAAGTGTCGCAAGCCGACAGGCTGCTACCACGCTGGCTACAGACAATGGCTTTTCTAGCCTCTCAGCACTTGCCTCTCTCCTGTCATGGCAGGGACCAGGGACCAGGGACCGGAGAGAGGAAGAAATGCCATACATGCATAACGGCAGTAAAGGTAAGGGGCTGGGCCTACATTTTGGGGTGGCAATGTTGTACCCGTCTAGGTTCTGGGGGCAGACCCAACTTCGAAATTGAGTACCCTTACTTATAAGGTATATGATGAAAATCATGTGTTTTTAATGCTGTAGTTGTTCACATTACCACGATATCAGCAATATTTACAATTTTATTGGCAAAAAAAAAGTAGCTCAATTATAAGATATATGCTAGTAAAAAAATGAAACAATAATAATAATTGTTAGCTCATAGTCATAAGGTGACAATGGATCCGATTAGACTTAAAACTTGATAGGTCTTGGTATGAGTCCAAATTTTGGACCTAAATAATAATCGAGTTTAAGTCCGGTTCAAGTCTAGCTGGACCCGGCCTGTTGTCACCCCTACCAAGATTGAGGTACGGGCAGGGTCATTGGTCAGCCTAGCCCCTGACCTAGGCTTTGTCCCTATAGGTCGGCCCAAGAATGGCCTTGGCCCATTAGGGTCAAGCCAACTTAAAAAACGATAAAAAAAAAAAAACCAAAAAAATAGAGGGCCGGGCTGGACCAAACCAAGCCAAAACTGCCCTAGCCCCGTCCCATGTTTTGGGGGCCGGTCCAGGGCAAACTGCTCGGTCCATCTCACTGCTCTCCCAAAGGTTCAATGAACTTCATTTCAACGAAAGGGAGACACCATTTTTAAATGATCATATTTGGAACTTGAGTAAGAGACCAAGTAAAGCCCATCTCGAGGTCGTTAAGGATTAGGGCCAAAATAAATAAATATCGCTGGTTTCCATAACCCACTAATTCAAACGATCACCGTCTTAGACCTACCTAGATTATATAACTATTTATTACTAGGCCGCCCAATGGACAAAAACCAAGGCACGGTTGTGTGTAAATCCTTACGAGGATACAAAATAGTGTTCTTATGGCTATGCAGTCCAGCCCAACCTGAAAAATGAGGGCCCGATTCAAAACACATTGTTTGGGCCTCAAAACACCTTTTGAGGATTTGGTTTAAGCAGCTCCTTTTGCCCCACTCAAATTGTTCTCTTTGGTTTGCGCAGCTCCTTTGCCAGCCCTTTTGGACGATGGTCCTAAATTCCTAATGGTTCAATAAATGTGGTAAAATTTTTTGCCACCCATATTATTATTGGGTGGTAAGATTAAGGATGCCAATGGATCCGACCTCAGGAAGGATTGGATCTAGGTCCAAAACTTAAACCCGAATACCATTCGAGTTTGGGTCCAACAAGACTTGACCTGAACAATATGGATATGTGCAAATATTGTCAATAATGTAAATATTGTCATGGCAAAAAAAATAAAAAAAAACGAAAAAATTCATAATCATAGGGTGGTGATAGGCCTGCCTAGACCTACAACTCGATGGGTATAATTGATTACGGGTCCAGATATGAGGGTAAATTTTGGACTAAAAACGCCGAATCAAAATCTAAAATCTAGACCTAAATACTATTCGAGTCCCGAATCCAAACCCTGCCGGACCCAACCCGCACTCGACCGGTTGCCAACCCTAGGTGAGATAAGGATGGGCTGGAAATAGGGACCCTTAAGTCAAACCCTATTGATTCCACACCTACCACGTGGCACGTCAATACAAAGCTGATGCACATTCGACGTAGGCTCTGTAACCCCGGTTAAAAAGTAGCAACTCACCCACGGTTAAATTCTAACCCCACCAAACGGATTCCCTCCTCCCCTATATAATCCACCGTTCCCTCCTTTGATCAAAGAGAGGAAGGGGGGATTTGACTTAATCGTCAAATCGGAAAAATTATCATTTTTCTGGCCGAATAACCCCATTTCCCGGAGAATCAGGCCAATTTCCGGCCATACATGGCGGTTTCAAGCTGTTCGATACTTGGTGGTTGCCCTAGGATTTTCCCGTCCTTTGAGTGCAGGTCAGATCCTGATTTTACCGGTCATTTTCAGTCGGAAAAGCAGAAAACCAGAGGGTTTTCCGGGCAAATCCATGGATTTTCAGGCCAATCTCTGATTCTCCGGTTCCCCCCTAACTTTGTCCGGCAATTGAGCATCAAAGCTCGCCGGAACTGCAGCAATATTGGGGTGGCTCAGGTGGTCGCTGCTTCATGGTCTAATGGCCCCATTGCGAGTGAGGAGAAGGCTATTGGTGTTGTAGCTCCTGTCATTGATTCTTCTTGTAACAACAACAACACCGAGGTTGTACAGTCAGAGTTTACCGATTCAAATGATTCGTTTTTGAGCTCCGATGGGAGCCTTGCAGTTCATGCCGGTATGTGAATATCATGCTTTGGCACTGTTTTTAAATTACTTTTAGAAATCTGTGTGTTTTTGACGAGTAAAGGTTTGGTTCTGAAAGGAAATGATTTGGGTTTTTTTCTAAGAAAAACAAGAAAATTTGGGTTTCTATTAACATTACAATTGAGTTCCTGGTTGATATGAGAGATGGGTTTTTAATCAAACGTGCTTTCATTTATACGTTTCTAGCAAGATCGTTTTTCTATTGAAATTGGTTTTGGATTAAACTCTATTGGGGCTATATTGAAAGTGTTGGCGGTTCTCAGTCTAAATTTGAATCTTATTCCTGGAGAGTTGTGGGCTTTCATATGGTGACATGCTTTAGTATTCGTAATTGTGCAAAACTTGAAGAAATCATTATGAATATCTTATCCTGAGTATCATTTGTTGAGGTCATTTGATGATAGTGGTTGAGATTTTTTTTTTTAATGGAACAATAGTATCTTTTGGCTTTCAACGATGGGGGCATATTCATTGTTCATTGTTATGCTGACCAAACTCTTGTTAGTGAGAAGGTTTATACTTGAAATTTTCCGTATCCTTTAAACAATGACAATTTTTAAGTTTGAATGGGCTTTGTTATACTTGAATGGTGGAGTGTAGTGTTTGGTCTGGCCTCTTTTGGTGGCTCCCTTATTGCATACTTGGAGTTAACAATTGGAGTTGCTTGTTTCTCAACATGGTAGACCTCAACTTCTTCTTAGACATTCAAAATGTGCTTAGACAACTGACCCACTTCATTACATAAAGAGATTACCCTTTCATTAAGCAGCTAGGAAGCTGAGTCCACTTGATTACATTTCAAAAGATCTGATTACGTGGATTGACAATGATTGATATTGTAGCCATTTACTGCCATGCTAGCCGTCCGTTTCTGATCTCACTCACTTATGTTGAACTACTCTCCTCTCTGATCACTTACATAATGTTGCTGATTATGTGGCCCCCTTTTAAACCATTGCACCTCTAACATTCTACCATTTCTCCCTCTCCACAACACTCAAAATATCATTTGTGGAGGGCTCTTATGATGGATATGTCGAAAGGATCCCATGATCAAATCAAGGCCTTTAGGACATGTTTGATTGGTGAAACTTTTTGACCATGGAAATCCCAAGCTCCATCAAATCAAACTTCCATGTTTATGAGGGGTGTGTGGAAGCTGCGTTGTGGAAGTGCTCCTTTCTACACCCTTCACAAAAAGTGTCATTTTTGGGAGACATGGCGTGGGAGCCATGTCTTCCACATTTTGTAGACGAGGGTGCCGTGGTAGTCCCCATGCCGTGTCTTCTTTGTGGAAAAAGGGTGCTGTGGTAGCCCCGTCTTCATTTTTTCAAACATGCCCTTAAATATTCTAGTGGAACACTACCAATCAGAACAACAACAACAACAAGATGTGATAGATCTCAAAAATGTAAAAAAATGAAGAAATCTCATATCCATGAAGCAAATTTTCAATAGATCTTTGAATAACATTGTGGCGTTCTTGCATATCTTGCAAATATTACGGAATTGAGTTCCTCAATCAGGAGATGGTGTTTGATGAGATCTTAGCCCTCATGAGCTGCTGGTCCTGCTAGTGATTGAATCTCTTGTTGCGTGACACTAAATCCTCTGAAAATTTGATTGGAATATTGATTATTTTTTACTTTTGTTCTTTATTGGATGCAATATTGTTGGTTAACCTTGGTCTATACAGGTGAAAGAATAGGACGTGGAATAGTTACTGATGCAATCACCACTCCAGTTGTCAATACTTCTGCCTACTTGTTCAAAACTACTGCACAGTTAATTGATTTCAAGGTATTCATAGTAATCACTGCTTCTTCTTTTTTTAACAACTTATACGACCTTCATTGCCACAAACTTATTTCCAAACAGTTGGTAGATTTTTTATTTTTTTAAATGCATACTTGTTTAGAATTTTTCCTAGAGAATAGAGATGGATTTAGGCCTTTGATATATATATGATATTCTTTGCCTTTATTGTTCAGGTATTTAGTAACATAGTGCCCCATTTGAGTAGGGTTTGATTTATGTGTTGGTATTTGTAATTTGTAATTTGATGGTATTGTATCTTCTTGTAAACTTATATGTTAACCCAATAGGAGGGAAGGTTTGCAAGTTTTGAGTATGGTCGCTATGGAAACCCTACAACAAAGGTTTTGGAAGAGAAGATTAGGTATTATTTCTTTGAAAACTGCAGGATTTCTTGATTTGGTTTTTGTTATTGTTCTCTCTCTCTCTCTCGTGCAGTTGAATTAAAGTGACATTATCTGTTAATTACAGTTTTCTCTGTTTCTTTTTTGGAACAGTGCACTTGAGGAAGCTGAGTCCACGGTTTTGATGGCATCGGGTATGTGTGCCTGCACGGTAATGCTGATGGCATTGGTACCTGCAGGAGGGCATATTGTTACGACCACAGATTGCTACAGAAGGACTAGGATATTCATCCAAACAATTCTTCCAAAAATGGGAATCACGGTGATGACAATATATTTGAATCATATGCAATATTTATTTTAGTTTTCATTTAAACATTGCTGTTCTGCACATTAGTGAATGCACATGATCTGTTGAGTATAAGGAGCACACGTTTGCCTGTACCTGTGCATAACTTTGTTGATCACTGGTAAAACAATTTGTGAAATTGAAGTAGGGACTAGAGTTTCTGATTTCAATTAAGTCAGTGATTTTGGTGGATGAGAAACATGCAGAGATTACAGAATTGTATTGGAGAGGCTGATGAAAACCTAGTGAAGAAATGCTTCTAGAACTTGCTGCCCCTAAATATCCATTGAGAAGCAATGGAAGACTAAATTGATAAAGGTATTTGGAATGGAAGGAATGGAAACAATGGAAAGATGGGAAAATTTAAAATGAAATCAAGAAGAGCAAGGAAGAGATCGTTTTTCACACTAACAACTAAGTTCCCATGCACATAAGAGCATAGGAACACACTTTTGCATGCATTTGTGCATACCTTTGTTGATCACAGGTAAAACAATTAGGAAAATTAACGTAGGGAATAACATTTCAAATAAGCCAGTGATTTTGTTAGATAAGAAACATGTAGAGATTATAGAGTTGTATAGGAGAAGCTGATGAAAACCTAGCGAGGAAATGCTTCTGAACTTACTGCCCCCTAATATTCATTGGGAATCAAAGGAAGACTGGAAATAGTTAAAGGCGTTTGCAATAGAAACTCAAGGAAGATGGGGAAATTTAGTAGGAATCATGACAAGCCAGGAAGAAATCTTTTTCACCCTAACAACTAAGTTTCCATGCACATATTTTAGGTTGTGGTTTACATAAGGTTGCAACCTTAAACAATCATAGCAAGGTGCATCTTCAAATTTTGTCATGAGATGCAAGTTTGGTGTAAAAAATTCTTAGGATGGTATGAGATTCTATTTTTATCTCTAATTATAAATTTTTGAACTCTAAAAATGATTTTAAGCAGATTAATAAACTTATGAAAATCTTGAAAATAGACGGTCCAGATAATTTATTGCAAGAAGTACTATTTTTAGGATTAGAAATCTGTCTTTTTTTCTACATCTACACATCTCGAAAACAATTAGATGTTTTTCCAACATCGAAACAATTTTTTTCGAAGTATTTTAGAGGTTAACGTTAATCCTACATCTTAAGGTGTCAACCTTTTGTAAACGTTTTCCTTTATATGCATTTACATACGTGTGACTTTGTTTATATGCATTTTTTTCTTTTTCGGTTGGGGTGCCTGACTGGTTTTGAGTATACATTATTTCCATTTCATATGCTTATGCCTATGTCTGTATACGTATGTGTGGATGGATTGTGTATGCATATGTGTGGGTTTTGTGCATGCAACTGCACTTGGATTGATCTTTGGATGGTAGGACTGAGAAGTCAACATGAGGGAACCATCTCCATTGGCACAGCATGTGTCACACACACATGAATTTTGAGTACTATACACTTATTGGGAGTTTGGGGTTATTTTCGGCAACCTTACGGCTCATCTTTTTAAACTTGTTGCATCTATGTTGGTTAAATGCAAGATGTACCGGGAATAGACATTTTCCAACGATGAAGGCAAAGTTGTGAACCTATTGGTTTGATAAATACTTGTTTAGTATATTTTTTAGAAGACATCCTTTAAATGGTGAAATTAGAAAGCCTCACTCGATTGCTCCTATTTCTATCACCGTGGTATTTGATCTAATTTTGAACTCCTTCTAACTCAACTTTGAATGTTGAACGATATTCTTTCTCGTGCAGTAGCATGGTGTTTAGACTTTGGAATGTCTTCAGAATTATATCCAATGTTGTTCTACAACTTAAGGGCATTTTGTTGTCCAAATACTTGGTGTATTGTTCTCAACTTCACCATTAGAATGGTGGTTTGCGGAATCTCTTCGGAGAACAGGTAAATTTGACACATCAGGAACTATAACAAGTCATATGGAACCAGAATTCAGGTCCTTAATATCTCTCCATATTGGCATACAAAAGAAAAAAAAAGGAAATCTGGATGTGATAGAATTACTGTAAAAATGTATTGACACATATTACACAGTCTGTGGTTCTCTGTGTATATACTAATATCAATTTGTTGGGAGCTAATCATCGGAATAAATAAACAAAAAAAAAATAAAGTTCTAGGAGTTTGTGTTTGTCTCTTGCTATTGTGGTAGACATTGAGCTCACTGTCCTTCATGATGTACTATCGTATATCATGTTGTTATTCTTCATATAGGTGAAAAAGTAATAGTTCTTTATGTCATCATTATTCTTCTGAACATCAAGATTAAAAAAAATAGTCATTACACAAAAGGAAAGGGTCCTCAGAAGCGTGATGACTGAGAATTTCAAAACCTCTTCTTACTATAACCCCCTGTGTTTGCTAAACTATCTGCCACTGTGTTTGTTTCACTATTTATGTGACTTAAGCTTCTATTAGGCATGCATATAATATTTGGAATACAGTATATGTCCTTGCACAAATTTACTGCCCATATTTTGATATTCCTTGCGCTATCTGATTTTGTCGTGTTTTAAAAGGAGAATTATGTATATAGCGCTCTATTGCCTGATAGGTAGATATCTAAAAGTAATATTTCTTTTCATATTCTGAGATTCTCCTATAAAATGAGTAGTGAACACATAAAGTCCCCCCCCCCTCTCCAAAATGGCTGTTCTATTCTGTCATCCATTCTTATGACATGATTTTATGTCGTGTTGGTCTTAACAGTGGTCCATGGTTGGTTGGAGCTTTTACTTCTCTGCTCACTTTCTATGTTTTTGTCTCGCTGAACTGCAGGCCACTATCCTTGATCCTGCTGATATGGATGGGCTGAAATCTGCTTTGGAGAAGCATAAAGTGAGTCCCCGGTTGTCTAAGTACAGAAGGCTTTGCCACTAATCTAGAATGGCTTGTTATCACTAAAATGCTTCGCTTGTTTTTGTGTAGATGTTATTCTAGAATTGCTTGTTATTCTTAAGTACATATTTTTCTTTGGCGTAGGTATCCCTCTATTTCACTGAATCTCCGACCAATCCATTCCTTCGTTGTGTTGATATTGAGTTGGTTTCAAAGCTATGCCATAGCAAAGGGGCAGTGGTCTGCATTGATGGCACTTTCGCCACACCTGTCAACCAGAAGGCACTACCCCTTGGTGCAGATCTTGTAGTGCACTCTGCTACCAAGTACATTGCTGGTCATAATGATGTGAGTTAGGTGCAATCCCTATAAACTTTTCTGATTTTTTTATGAGCAGTGAATGAGTTTGATAGTGTTATTCTGGTTGTTTCAGGTAATTGCAGGGTGCATTAGTGGTTCAAAAAAGCTGGTTGAAACTGTGAGGGCTTTGCATCACGTCTTGGGTGGCGTTTTGAATCCGGTAAGCTATCACTGTGTGTTGAAAGCAGTTGGTTAATGCTGAGTGAATAAATGATATATTTGGACCACAGGTTTACACTTGGTAACATTAACAAATCGATTCTAATATCATGAATTATGACATGAATATTCAAACTGGCTAGTGTTCTATTACATATTGGTGTATTGTGCACTTCATTTCAAAGGGAACCCTCTATCCATTCTGCTGTGTGCAGAGAGTATTGGTGGATGGCCTACTAGGGCATTTAGCCTGATACAGGTATTTCTGTCTGTCGGGCAATAGAATGGGGGGTGGGTACTACCCCCTTGGAGTATTTACTCCATCGAGTATTGGTATACTTTCTCTAATTTTTTCTTCTTTTCCTCATGTGAGTTATGGGATTGTTTATCTCATTTTATTTGCTCAGAACGCTGCATATATGATCATTCGCGGCATGAAGACACTGCATCTTCGTGTACAGCAACATAATTTAACAGCAATGAGGATGGCCCGGCTTTTAGAGGCGCATCCCAAGGTATGTAAACAGTATTTATTTGTTTTCATTTTTTTATAAACAGGATAGTTGTTTTGTAAACAGCATTTCAAATGGGGTGCACATTTTTCTGTGGGGTTGCTGTTCTTTTTGAAAGCCAATTGTGTGCGCTTAAATATTCAATAGACATGCAGTACCTTTATGAATTCTACTGAAAGCAAGTCATACTTTTGCACATATTAATGCTGTAAATGGGCCGACTATATGAAAAAGGGTAAAATCTCACTGGGTGGCCTGTGGGGTTTTTGTGGCACAGGCATGTATGAGATGCTATAACATTTTATGTGGGCTTTTAACCCTTTTTTTGGGTATATGGAGAAATTATATAACTAAAAAATTTATTCTGAATTTTCAAATGGGAACATTACAGATTCTTTTTAATTTAATATGAGAACAAATTTGGATCGCTGGTATCGAATTAACACTAAAAAGATTTTAGCTGAGCCAATTCTTTAAGAAATCCAACAATGTCCAAAAAGTCCTAGCCAAGGCTTATGAAATAGACAGAAGAACCATGAGTACATCAGGCTTATTAATCCATACATTTTCTGTTATCTTTTTTTGGAAATTACAAAATCTTCCTGAACATTTTGAATCAAACGAACTTTTATTAAACCAATATTTTATCCTTGGTCAAAAGAAAACTGCAATCGGGATTCTATTTGTTGTTTATGTTATTATGTGCTTTGTTCTGGTAGAACCAGCTAAACCAGTATAATCTTTAAATTGTGCCCACATATGCCGCACTACAATCATCTGAAATGACGTGCTTTCTGTGGATTATGGAAGAATGGACGAGAAGATTTTTTACTTTTTATGCTTTTCTATCTATGAATAATAAGAATAACATTGGGCCACTTGCCAGATTACTCGTGTCTATTACCCAGGCTTGCCAAGTCATCCAGAGCATCACATCGCTAGCCGACAAATGACCGGCTTTGGGGGTGTGGTCAGTTTTGAGGTACATGAGGGTTCTTTAGTCGTATTTTATGTACTTCTAACTGTAATAAAAGGCATTCCGGCTCCTTCAAATCTCTAGGGGGCTTATATTGTAGTTTTGCAGGTAGCTGGAGACTTGAATACCACCGCAAAATTCGTCGACGCACTAAAGATACCCTACATTGCCCCTTCCTTTGGAGGCTGTGAAAGCATCATTGACCAGCCTGCCATCATGTCCTACTGGTAATCCCCACATCTTTGATAATTGCTATGTGATCTTTTGTGCGGGCATGTTTGAACAGTTGGGTTAGTTAACTCAGCAATTTTACATGTTGTAGATTTGGTCCAATCCCAGTATATTGGATTTGTTCCATTTAATAACCCATCCTATTACCTTAGGTAACTTCAAATTTTAAAAATCCAATTTTTCCTGCACCTTAGCCCTTGTGTCCTATTGGCAGACTTACCCAAAGTAATCAGTGTGTGTAAACTCACCTTAATCTTTTAATGAAAAAGTTTATATAAGGATTTAACCTTATAATGTAGAGTTACGGCTGCACCTCAAAAATCCATCCGAAAAGGTAGTTTTAATGTTGAAAAACCCTTTGATTGGTCATCTCGACATCAAGATGTATGACCATGACAAATAAAAAGATTTTAAGTTTTAGTAATAGCGCATTTTACAACATATTATCTACGCCGTCCGTTTTCAAGATTTTCATATGTTTATAGATCTACTTTATTTTAACCATTTTTTAAATTTAAAATTTTATAATTAGATATAAAAATAGATTTTGAGATAATCCTAAGAACATTTTACATCAAAATTATATACCATGATAAAATTTGAAAGTGCACCTTACCTCTACAGCTACGGATGCATCCGTATACCGACTGCACCCATCTTTTAATGGTATTGCTAACACGGGAAAATCAATTTAGGAATGTGAAAATAGTATCATTGTATGTTAGCCTGCGCATTTCATTGACTTAATATTTACTCCTACCGCATTAGAGTACTGAGTAACCTGTTCAGTTTGTAATTTTGGTCCTGAGAATTCTTTGGCAGGCGTCTAGGTGGGATCCAGTGGCCAACTTCATGGTCTTCTTTATATTAAGAATGAAATTGGGTTGTATGAATATTATTTGGGTATATCGACTTACCTGCTATCAATATGGCATGGCATGCATGGTGAGCCCTTGCATACGTATGAATGAACATAAAGGAAATGTCAGAAAAATTTCATCAGTGAATTGACTGCTGTCTGGCAATGAAAAATTCAAGGTATCAAAAACTGTTGAAACATTTTCGTCGCAACAGGCGACAGAAATGATCATTGGCTGCTATAGCAAAATAATGTGAAATAATAGACAAAATTGAAACATAATGGCTGCGATTATTTCAAGTGGCCCTTGTTCGTCATTGACTGATGTTGTTTTTAACAACTTAAAACATTCTTTATATAGGTCAGCACTCACGGACATCCTTGCACATAACATTTTATCCATAGCTTAGCTTGCGCAAATTCTAACCAACATTATATGCACAGGGATTTGAGCCCTGTTGAGAGAGCGCAGTATGGGATCAAAGACAACCTGGTCCGCTTCAGCTTGGGAATTGAAGACTTTGAGGACTTGAGGATGGATGTACTCCAAGCACTTGACTCTATTTGAGTTCTTGGTGTGTCCTTTGGGACGAAATTATGAAGGGACATGTTGTTTCTGTTGTCTTTGTGTGTTTATGAATTTCACGCTAACTTGGTGGTGGTTTTTAGCTTGTTTTTTGACGTACTTGTGGCTTTCTTCAGGAATCCAAAAATGCATTGTGTTGTCATGAGAAAATATGGTTTTAATATGCATTCTTTTTGCAACAAAGTTTTGCTTTCGTATTTCTGTCTCCTTGTTTGAAACTTGGTGAGGCTGGTGTATAGCTACGTTGCAGTGTTATGAAAAAGAGGGGCAGGGCAGGGGAGTATACAACATAAAATATTAAAAACTTTCATAATCTAAAAAGTTCCAAACCATTGGAAATTTGTAATAGATAGATTATTAATAGCACAACTAAAAATAGTAGCAGTAATAATATAGGTACAATTCATAATCCTTACTCCATGCTCCGTATATCATTCTATAATATGTAGTTCTATATAATGGTACAGCTCTACATGCATATAAAATTTGAAAAAAAAAAAAAGAAAGTATTTTAAGTTGTAATACTCAACACTCTCAAGTGTAGAGCAATCATCATAAAAAAAGGTAGGTTAAGCTTTAATCATGTGTATTGAAGTCGTGTTTATAATCATCAAAGTCATCTCTTTCTTCAACGTAATGATTGTTTTTTTTCATTTTTTTTGAATCTGCTATTTTTTTTCTATCCTTTCTTACTCTGTTCAAATGAAGTCTTATGAGTCTTGGTCGTTCCACTTGGTGTCATTTTATATTAATTTTTTGCTTTTTGTGTTTTATTAAATTCAAATATTACTTAATCTTTTCGTTGGTAGCTTCGTGAACATTTTTATATGTGATAATATCTTTTTAAATATTAATAAGATGTTTTTTGAATCGGTAAATACCTCTATTAGTATCATTTTCATAATAATTATACTTTATATAATTTGTTATTCGGATTTGGGTCATGACCATATTTCGAACTTAGATCACCACTTCAAGATGGCCTTCCAACTCAAATTACCATTTCTAGAAGGACTTCAAACTCAGATCACCACTTCTTGACGAACAAGGAAAATATATTTTCATATAACAACTCTCCTTTTTATTTTTATTTTTTTTTAATTTTTTTTTTCTTTTCTGGTTTTACAAAATTCAAATGTCTAATTTTATTTCTAATAGGTTCATGGATCTTTTCATGAGAATCAACATTTCTTTTAATACCTGCTAGGTGTTTCGTGAATCAGTTAATATTCCAATTGGTATTTTTTTTTTTACATAAATTACAATACTTCCAGCCCGAATCACCGTTTCTAAAAGAACCAGAAATAGATTTATCCAAATGATAAGATTTTTGTTCATATTTGTGTTTTATTGAACTCATATATTGTTAAATCTCCTTTCTGATACCTTCATAAACATTTTTATAAGGGGCAACATACCCCATGATGCTCGCACGATATTTTTTTTAAGTAGTTTATATTCTCATCAGTATCGTTTTTGCAATAATTACATCTTATATAATTAAATATGATTTGGATTTGGGTTATAATCAAATTTCTAACTCGGATCTCTACTTCTAAAAGAACCTGAAAAAGACGTTGAAATAACAAATATGAAGATATTTAACTAACGTTTTTGCTCGGTTATCAATATTCAATGTTTGAGATGTTTTCCAATCTCAAATACTTCTCAAAAAGCATGTACTAAGCTTAAAAAAGCATCACAATCAAATCAAAAACTAAAACAAGATAATGTTTGGATCGATTTTTCAAAACTCAGAAATACCTAACCGGTCCCTTAAAAATTTAAAAAAATTGATTTATTTTAATTTCTTTTTAAAGTAAACAAAGAGGTGGTCATACAATAACCTAAACCCCTTCCCTTTTCCCCGTTATTTAAGGGTAAAAAATGCAAAATACTCCTCAAAGATGGGCATTTTCATCCTTGGGTAACTGCTGTTGAGGGGTATTTTCGTCCTTAGGCAGCCGCCCAGGGGTAGGTGTTGGGCATCTATTTAGGTGGGTCCCAAGCGCCTAAGGGTTGGGAGATGTGCCCAGGTCCCCTAGCTTGCCTAGGCGATCACCTAGGCATTAGGTGAGCCGCTTTTGCAACATTGCTAGATTATCCCTTCAGCTTCAAATTCTTGGTTTGAGGTTTACCCATTTGTCCAAGTAGACTAAAAAACAAGTGGACCTCCTGGTCCTTATCGGGGCAGACTAGGCCCTGCCTTAGCCCTATTAGGGCCGGGATGGGTTGGGCTGGGTCATGCCAAATAAATCCTAACAAAAAAGAAATAAAAAAATAGAGGGCCGTTCTTGGCCGAACCGAGCTGGCTTTGGCACATATGCCAGGCCCTACCCTCGGGCTGCGGTTGCCCCACATTTCATGGTCTAGGCTTTAATTTTTTAGAGCCGCACTAGTCGGGCCAAGCAAGGACACCTGGGCCATTGCCACCCTTAGCTATAAGCACAATGATGATGAAAATCTTATATACATGGATCTCTTCGTTGAGATGCCTAAACTAAAGTTATATATATATTTGGCTAGTGAATTCATAGTATAATGCAACTACATTTATATCAAACGAATGGCCCTAACATAGTTTTGGAAGGTTGTTGCTCTATATTACTATACAACCATTGTATGAAATCACTTATATATATATATATATATAAGAAAGCCTACTAGTTCATATGAACATATGAGCCCAGCGTTCAAGATTGAATTTGGACCGATCTGAAGGTCACGACCACATTTTGTATTTGAATTTTAATTTGTCTTCTTCAAATCTAAATAACTTAAAATCTTAGGCCTTCCATTCTTCTCATCAAGGGGCACCTAATAAAAATATTTTAAAAATAATTCACAAAAAATAAATTGACCAAAATACCCCTAAAATATTTCAGGGATATTTTGGTCAATTTCTTTATTAAAATTTTTTTTTTGAAATATTTTTATTAGATTATCATATTTTTGATGAATACATATCTAAAATTTCAAATTATTTGGATTTGTTAAAAAAAAAGAAGAAAATTCACAAAATGAAATCGTGACCGTCAGATCGGCCTAGATTCAATTTGCGCCATCGGACTCATATGTTTATATGAGCTAGTAGGCTAATCTCAGCATTTTCCATATATATATATATATATATATATATATATATATATATAGTAGTA